TTTTTTTTTTTTTTTGGTAGCAAGTATGACTTATACAGTAAGAGCAAGGTTCGGGTTGATGTGGAGAAAATGAAACCCTATTACCTTTCTCTCATCGAAAAGGTAAAATGTGTAAGAATATTTACTAGGGAAAATTGTAGTTTTAGTTCGATAACTTAGATCGTTTATCATTTTCATTCCGTAATTTAGTCGTTTCCAAAATTGGTCCAAAAACTCTTAAAGTTTAGCCAATTTGGTCATATTTTGACCCCGATCGCTAGAATCCGATCAGAAGTTGTGGGATGGGCAAATTTCGACGCCGACTAGGTTTTTGTGGACTGATTTTCGGTAGATTAACTAATGTGGACACTTTCATTTTTTTCACGTAATTTTTCCTCAAATTATTTTAATTCTAAGATTAAAAAATTCTTTCACGTAATTTTTCCTCAAATTATTTTAATTCTAAGATTAAAAAATTCACCTCCTTCAACACCTCCAAAACCGTTCGATTGCTCCCCCAATCCCCGCCACCTCCCAAGCACACTGCGTCGACGAAATACTCTCTGCTCGACCTCTCCGATGCCTTCCCACTGAGAATATCGAAGTTCAGTTGCCCGCTTCTCATTGAAATCTCGTTGTCCTGTTAAATTTATCGAAACACTAAATTTCGATCTTGTGAATTTCTGTTGACTGGTAAGGTTGTGATGGAATTTCACGAGCGGTAGCGTAGCGAGTATTTGAGGATTTTTTTGGGAGATCGCTAGTAGATTTGTACCTTTGTTGGCCACAGTTGAGCTCCACGCGCTAGTTGTTTGACGATTTTTCTGTGTGGGGAATTGCCGGTGCAATGGAGAAGAACGCGACATTGAACGTGGAGAAATGGATGGTCCTCGGACGCGGGGGTTGGTGGCGGCGGTGCTGGTGTGGATCACGGTGGCGGCGATGGAGTAGTTCTGATCGGCAGCACGCGATCTCGATCTGGATTTCTCGACGTTCTTCACGGCGACCTATGGTTGCAGGCTGATTTTAATCTTAGAATTAAAATAATTTAAGAAAAAATTACGTGAAAAAAAAAAATGAAAGTGTCCACATCAGTTAATCTGTCGGAAATCAGTCAGCATCAGCCGACTCCATGCTTAAATTTGTCCGCTCAACAACTTCTGATGGAATTTCGATGATCGGGTCGAAATAAAATTACAGTGGCTAAAATTTAAGAGTTTTTTGACCAATTTCGGATTCGACTGAATCACTAGACGAAATTAGGAAATGGCCTATGCTACTGGACTAAAACTGAAAATTTTTCTACTCTACTTGTCCAAAAACATGCGTGTCCACATACAAGGACACAATAATTAACTTTCATTTTTGGCGAAAACATAAAAAAAATAAAAAAATAAAATAAAAGACACGGCCTCATCCTATAACTCACTGCACAAATTATTAATGTTATTGTTAGACATACATGCATGATCATTAAACAACAATAAATTTTCAAAATAATTTCAAATTAGAAGCATATAAAATATGGCTTGTCGACTATCGAGCAATTGGCTTAACACATCTGAATTAAATTTCTCCATTTTTTATGGGCAGTATTTCCCTGAAAAGCTAAGATGGTAAAATCTTCATGGGGTGGCTGCCTAAGGAGTCAGTAAATTAGTGTATGAATTTATTATCATAGTATGTGAAAGTAGGTTGTATGAATTTGCTACGTAGTTATGTATTCGTTGGTTGCGACTTGCGAGTGTATTTATCTAGTAGTGACTAGAATTTGCCGTTGTTGCCTTGGCTCGAGCATAATAGATTGGGGGTCTCGTCTCCCTGGCAAGTCTTAAACTAAGCTTTTGACCTCTTTCTTTGTACCAAAATAAAAAAGAAAAGAATTTGTCGTTGTTGCTATTGCTAGCTAGTAGTGATTGGATTGAATTCCTTAATGAAGTTTGACTTTGACCTGATTTTTGTGATTAGCCGTAGAGGTTGGGTTCGAAAATATTACTTCAAAGCAACGTATATTGAATCACATAATCCGAAGTGGGAAAATGAATTACATAAATAATTTTCCTATTAATAGTCAAATCATAGTGCGAAATCAAATGTCACATGAGCAAAGAAAACAGAAATAAAAAATAAATAAATAAGGTGGTCCATATGTATTCTTGACTTTAGTAAATTATACAATATTTAAATGAATACATTTGTTATATATTTTTAAAAAATAATATAAACAATTATAACATATTTTTCAGTATTTTAATATGCATTTTCGTTTCACAAAGTAAAACTCACACAAAAATTTGTTAAAAATATTTATTTTATTGTTATAAATAAATAAATAAATGTAAACTTAAAGACTAAGCAATATTATTCAAACGGAGACCCAGAATATAATAATTCATTAGTCAAACTCGCAGGAATTAATTATAATATATATATATATATATATTATATTTGTTTCTTGTGCTAGTTGTAAGAATGCCAAAATAAAATATCTTATATCCAATAAATAAACAATTAATTTTATTTTCTCATCACCTGCATATATATGAAGAGCGCCTTGGCTTCACTCAATTGAACATCTTCCAAATTCAAATCAATTCTAATATTTTTTTTTTTTTGAGAAAAAAGAATGGCAACTAACAGCACGAAGAGTTTCAAAGCGATGAAATTTATTATTGCGATCATGTTCGTATTTGCTCTCGCACTGATTATAAGTTGCGATGCAGCTCGACTTGCTTACCAAGGTACAATATATTAGTGCAATTAGTATTATTCATCGACTCATTTTAGAAAAAAAAAAAAAGTCACATACAGACACATATGTACCTCCTATGAATATGTGTGTGTGTGTTTTTTCTAAAAATGTTGCAGGATTTGGTGCTCGGCTAGAAAAATGCGGTCCGTGCAATACTTGTTGCCAGCCGAGCACGCCTGCATGCTGCCCTTGTGCCTGCCCTGTTCCGCCATGAAAACAGACGAAATGACTCTGTTTTTTCGAAAGCATATGTTTTGGTATTGATTGTGTTTAGTGATCTGAATATGTACTGAATATGTGTTTTTAATGTTGGTTCATGAATAAATTCTAATGCCTTTTTTCTGGTAATTTTCAGTCATTCTTATTGTTGTATGGTCCATTTGAGATAAGTTGATTTGATCCAAAGAATACTGAATATAATCTATAAAAATTACCAAATAAATATTTATCTAATGATTAGACAATCTAACGAAAGAATAAACTCTAGTTGTCATTACTAATCTAATACCTGCGGGCTTGGATTGGGCAAAATATTATAAAGAAAAAATTACATCCTATTACAATATTCACTCGTGACTCGTGAGTCCTTTATAAACAGTGTGGGACAATTCACAAGTGAATATTCTAACATGCACTCTCACTTGTGAATCCTTCATAAGAAGCACAAGCTCATATACGGAGTCGGGTGCCCAAGTCCTACTAGAAACAGGTTGGGTAAACGGGTACGTCATTGCACGGTCCCACATAGAACCGGCTCTGGTATCATGTAAGAAACGGGGGATAAACAGGCGCGGTCTCACGTACGTGAAGCGCACCAAGACAGGGAAAGTCCAGATAAAGCCCAAGTGAGGTTTCATCCCAAAACCAATTGGTGGTAGGAAGAGTAACTCATTAGACTATTTTCCCTATATAAACGATGTAAAACAACTCACAAATAAATATTCTAACACATTCTATACGACAACTTTCAAAATTTATCTTGAAAAAACAATACACTCATAAAGTTTCACATCTACGAGAAATGTGAGAATTGTATGGAAGGTCGCTTCTTTCTCTGGTATCTCACTAATGGGAAAGCCAAATAGATTTCCTTCCTTCCAAAAATCACGACTTTTTCAACGGGATTGTCCATGGTGAAGAACAGCGCCGCGTCAACTGTCTCGAAAATCCCCGATCATGGTCAAGAGAATCGTATGGTAGACTCGTTCTAGTTCGAGTCTATAGGTGGCCCATTAATTGCTTAATTTTGGATCGGCCTATAAGGCCGAGACGCAAATAGAAAACCGTCTAGAATCGAGGCCCAAAACTATAGAGATACCCAGAAAGACCGAGCAGTTTCTAGAATCTTTCCTCATTCAGAATACTGAAGAGTTCTCTGGAAATTAGGCCGTGCTTCCACTCCACCATATAAATTCTCCTCCGTCGGAGCCTGAGAAATTCGATCAAGCCTTCACAAGCAAAAATCAAGCTCTCAATAATCTACCAAATCATATCTGTTAGTTAATCCGCAGAGAAACTGAAAAATGTCTCTGATTCCGAGTTTCTTCGGCGGTCGTCGGAGCAACGTGTTCGACCCGTTTTCATTGGACATTTGGGATCCATTCGAAGGCTTCCCTTTATCCGGCGCCGTCGCAAACCCTCCGTCCTCCGCCAGAGAAGTCTCGGCGGTAGCCAACGCGCGGATCGACTGGAAGGAGACGCCGGAGGCGCACGTGTTCAAGATGGATGTGCCCGGATTGAAGAAAGATGAGGTCAAGGTCGAGGTGGAGGATGGTTGTGTGCTGCAGATTAGTGGGGAGAGGAGCAAGGAGCAGGTAGAGAAGAACGACAGGTGGCACCGTGTGGAGAGGAGCTCCGGCAAGTTCCTCCGCCGTTTCCGGCTGCCGGAGAATGCGAAACTTGATCAGGTGAAGGCGGCTATGCAGAACGGCGTGCTGAAAGTGACGGTGCCGAAAGAGGAGGTGAAGAAGGCTGAGGTCAAGGCCATCGACATCTCTGGTTAGAAAATGATTATGTATTAAGTTGATTACGAGGTTTGATTGTGATAATATATATGAATATATGATGGGTTCTTCTTGTCTTGTTTGCACATTATGAGAGTTTAGTTTCTGTGTATTTGGATATTTTGTGTATGTTATGTGTAATGTAAAATTGGGAAAGTTGCAATGTGGTGAGTGTTATGTGGTCTCTTTGGTTGTAATCTCCCGTGCAACTCAAATACAAATATGAAATTGTTATAAACAAAACAAAACTGTCCTCACAACTGATTTTTAGTGTGAAGTTTGATGCAAAAATCATAAGGTGATTGAGTTCTGTTCCTATCTCATTTAACTCTAAAGCTGCTCTGTTGCATTTTGAAACAAGTAACTTCAAGATTTTTAATTCTCATGCAGATCAACAGGAAATTTCACAGTAATGAAACTTTCCGAAGATTTTACAACAGCGACGACAAGTACTCGACCAAGCTCTGCAAGGACTCGTACGAAGATCCCCCCGGCTCAACACAAAGATCAGACTTCTCTTTCAAATGTAAAGCCTTCCCTCTAATCTCTCCCCTTTCTTCTCCATTCCCCAATATCCTTTCAATAGCCATCTCAATCTCTTCCTGTCTAAACCCGCTTTCCAAACACAAACCGACCTGCCAAACGTGGCCCACGTACTGTGCATTCACCAATTGGTCCGTAAAGCACGGGCTGCAAATCATCGGCACCCCTTCACATACGCTCTCCAACGTCGAGTTCCATCCGCAGTGCGTCCAGAAAGCTCCAACTGAAGGATGCGACAGCACTTTCATCTGTGGGGCCCACTTAACAATATGCCCTCGTCCGTTTACCGTTTCTAAATAATTTTTCTGTCAAATAAGAAAGAGAAGAGGAAGAATGAATTGGGACACAAAATCTGCCGTATCTCTGGCGTGCGGCTCTCATGTATATATATGTATCATTAGGTTTTACAATAGCTTGATCCCTAAGAAACTAAGATAATAAGGGTACAATCGACAATATACAAACTAAATACTAATTACATCAACACCCCCCCTCAAGTTGGAGCATGAGGATTCCGAATGCCCAACTTGCCAAGGAAAAAGTCGAACTCGCGCTTGCCAAGTGCCCTTGTAAAAGGATCAGCCAACTGGGACCGAGTGTGAACATAAGAAGCCGAAACAAGGCCTTGAACAAGGGCATCACGAACAAAATGACAATCCACCTCAATGTGTTTAGTCCGTTCATGAAAAACGGGATTAGCGGCAATATGCAAGGCCGCCTGACTGTCACAATAGAGACGCATGGGCTGCGAATGAGGCACACCAAGGCTGTGCAGCAATCCTTTCAACCATTTAAGCTCACAAATAACAGTAGCCATAGCCCGATACTCAGCCTCCGCAGAAGATCGCGCCACAGTGGGCTGTTTCTTGGTACGCCAAGAAATCGGAGACTGGCCCAACTGAACAAACCAGCCACTAAGAGAGCGACGAGTAAGGGGACATGCAGCCCAGTCAGAATCACACCACCCAGAGAGTTGAAGATCAGAGTCAGAACGAAGCAGAATACCCTGCCCAGGGGATCCCTTCAGGTATCGAACAACTCGTAGCGCAGCTTCCCAATGTGCTCGCCTAGGCTGATGCATAAACTGAGCAAGAACATGAACCGAGTAAGACAGCTCAGGACGTGTGACAGCCAAATAAATCAGACGACCGACCAGGCGCCGATAGGCCTCCGAGTCTTCGAAGAAGGGACTAGCATCGTCAAGTAGACGATGATTCTGTTCCAGCGGAAACTCCACCGGCTTAGCTCCCAACAAACCAACCTCGGAGATGATGTCCAAAGCATATTTCCGCTGGCACAAGAAGATGCCAGAGGTGTTGCGCGCCACCTCAATACCCAAAAAATATTTTAAGTAACCCAAATCCTTCATGTGGAAGCAACGACTCAAGTAACTCTTAAAAGCTCCAATGGACACAGGATCATTTCCAGAAACGATAAGGTCATCAACATACACCAAGACCTGCAGGTGAACAGACCCACGACGCAAGGTAAATAAAGAGTAGTCAGAGTGGGACTGAGAAAAACCATACTGACAGAGAGAAGTAGCCAGCTTCGCAAACCAGCACCGAGGAGCCTGCTTCAATCCATAGAGAGAGCGACGCAAACGACAAACTCGCCCAGCATCACTAGTCCGAAAACCAGGAGGAAGCTTCATGTAGACCTCCTCATCCAAGTCGCCATGAAGAAAGGCATTGTGGACATCCATTTGATGGACCTCCCACTGACGAGCGGAAGCAACAGCTAAGAAAGTCCGTACTGTCACCATTTTAGCAACAGGGGCAAAAGTCTCATGATAATCAATTCCTTCCACTTGATTGTTACCAAGAACCACCAGACGTGCTTTATAGCGCTCAACATCCCCATCCGAACGATACTTGATCTTGTAAATCCACTTACAACCGATGGCACGCTTCCCGGGAGGAAGAGAAACCACCTCCCAAGTCCCATTATTCTCTAGAGCTTGGATTTCATTCTGCATAGCTACGCGCCATCGACTATCAGTGGCGGCCTCAGCAAACGTACGAGGCTCGACATTAGAAGCTAGAGCTGCCAAAAAAGACTTGTGGACCGATGAGAAAGTATCACAACTTACATAATGTGCGATAGGATAAGGCGTACCTGAAGAAGGTGAGGAAGCAGGCAGAGCAACAGAGGGACCAGGGGGACAGACAGTGGCAGTAACAAAATCACGGAGGCGACTCGAGGGAAAACGGGTGCGATGTCCACGGCCCAACGCACTGTCTGGCGCAGTAGGGCCTGAAGGACCCCCCATGTCATCGGAAGGGCCAGAAGGGACGACAAGTGATTGATCATCAGGGGATGGCGGAGCAGTCACAGGCGCAGGCGGGGCTACAATCGAGTGATCATCATCCGAAGTGGACGTAGGAGGCCAAGTCACAACAGGAGGGACCGAAGCGGGTGAAGAGACCGGAGGAGACTCCTCATAAGGAAAAACAGTCTCAACGAAGTCAATGTCACGAGATACTAAGAAGACTTGTCGATCCAAATCATATACGCGCCATCCTTTCTGCCCAAGAGGATAACCCACGAACACCCCTTTATGACTGCGACTAGCAAATTTGTCGCCCCGACGGTCCCGGTTATAGACATAACACAAACACCCAAAGACACGTAACCGAGAATAATCAGGCAACTTTCCATATAGCATCTCATATGGGGTTTTGTTACCCAAAACACGGGAGGGAGTTCGATTAATTAAATGAGCAGCCGTAAGAACACAATAGCCCCAAAATGGAAGAGGTAGATGGGCCTGAAATCGCAACGCACGAGCCACATTAAGAATATGTTGATGTTTTCGTTCAACACGGCCATTCTGCTGAGGGGTACCAACACAAGAGGTTTCATGTAAAATACCTTCACGACGAAAATAATCAGTCATACACATAAACTCAGTACCATTGTCACTGCGAACCACACGCACCAAAGTACCAAATTGACGCTTAACCATAGCAAAAAAATTCATTAGGATAGAGGACACTTCCGTTTTATCATTAAGTAGATAAATCCAAACACCCCGAGAATAATCATCAACAATGGTCAAGAAATAACGAGATCCACAAAAGGTAGGAACCCGATAGGGCCCCCACAAGTCACAATGAACCAAATGAAAGATGCCATCACTAACAGTATTACTAAGAGAAAAGCTGTCCTTGGTCTGTTTAGCCCGAAAGCACACATCACACGACTTATTCAAGACAGAAGACGAAGAATCAATAAAAGACAAATGTGACAAAACGCGATCTGATGGATGCCCCAACCGTCGATGCCACAAATCAAAAGAAACCTTCATAACTCGAGAAGACGCAACTGAAACTGTCCCCCGGAAAAAATAAAGTCCCCCTATCTGCTCACCCGCTCCAGTCACCATCTTCGAAGTGCAATCCTGAACGACACAAAACTTGTTAGTAAAATGAGCGGTACAACCAGACTTATCCAACAACTGGAACAATGATATCCAACAACCAAACTTGTTTGGTGATTTTACCGTAGTACGCTTCAATACTTAAACCCTTCTGCTTACAAGCCGCCAGATCCGATTTGAGTTGTTGAATTCGAGGACCGTTCTTCATCGTAAAACGTTCCTGTAAAGAGCGCCATAAATCTGCTGCAAGTTCTGGTTCCACCACAGACGAACGAAGCGTGGCATCAATACTGTTCATAAGCCACGACAATAAAAGCGCATTGTTTGCTTGCCAATCTTCAAACAAATCAGAGTCAAGATCTGGCAGCGAGATGGAACCATCCAAAAATCCAAACTTCTTGCGCGCACGAAGAGCGGTGCGGATGCTACGGGACCATTCTTCATAATTGATGTCTCCCTTTAATTGAACTTGAGTGATCAAAAGGCCCGGATTGTCGCTTGAAGTGATGTCGTATGGAGAGATAGTTTTTCTGGGAATAGCAGTGGAGCCCGAGCCTGAACCGTCACCGGAGCTGGAACCTCCACCGGACATGGCGGTGGCAGAGGAACGAAAAAGAAGAGAAAAAAATATATTAACCTGCTCTTGATACCATGTCAAATAAGAAAGAGAAGAGGAAGAATGAATTGGGACACAAAATCTGCCGTGTCTCTGGCGTGCGGCTCTCATGTATATATATGTATCATTAGGTTTTACAATAGCTTGATCCCTAAGAAACTAAGATAATAAGGGTACAATCGACAATATACAAACTAAATACTAATTACATCAACATTTTCGGTAAACACTCCAGCCAATCGGAGCCCTTAACTAGTCCCGGACGGACGACCCATAGGAACGGATGTGTGCTGCCAGCCAGTCCCCAGGCTATCTCAAGAAAATCTTTTTCTTCTATCGCTGCAATGCTGCCGAAGCTCACGTAGATAACCGAGCCATGAGGTTGTTCGTCGAGCCACGAGATTGAACTGTGATCTTCTTCGAACAAACTGCTACTTGAAGAGGCTGGAAAGTGCTTGTGAAACGGGCCTACCGCGAAGATTGGGATTTCGAAGTCCCCGCGAAGTTTTTCGATTGCCGAGTCCTCGAGTTCTTGAAAGGAGTTAAAGACTAATCCCGATGAGACCTTGGTTTGTTCTACCATGGCTTGCACTAGCTCATACAGTTTCACTGGATGAGATGTGTTGATTACTGGGAGATCCTTGATTCTAAGTGGAGGAAGCTCCTCTACTGAATCTTCCAGCTTCTTCCCGTCTGCTTAGCATGGAATAGGTTAACTAACCACTATTTGTTAAGTATGGAATAGGTTAACTAACCACTATTTGTTAAGTACTCGAAAAGAAACAAAAAAAGTAGCTTAAAAAGGCAGTACCTTGAACTGGGAAAGCCAAGAAAGAACACACTCCACCAGTCCTCAGAACAACCCTCGGAACTTTCAAACTCTTGCAAACTGCCGATGTGAAATGCAAAACGGCATCCGAGATCACACAGGCAACCGATTCAGCCGAGCCGTCAGCCAACACGTCGGTCAAGGCCAGCCTGAAGGGCTCGACGCATCCGACGTTGAGCATTTCGAGAAGAGAGTGAGTATAGGTTTTTGGATATCCATTGTCGATTTCGGACATGCTGACGTGGATTGGTCAGAACGTGAAATGAGGGTGGTTCGATGGGTTGGGGGAGTTGAGTCGGGTGTGGATGACGGTTATGGAGAAGCCACGAGAATGGAGAATGTTTGCCAGCTGGAGCATAGGGCTGATGTGGCCTTGGAGTGGGGGTGGGAATAGTATCAGGCGCTGGCCGCCGGTTCTTGGATGTTGTGGTTGTTCAGGCTGCTCCGTGGAGTCCTCCATAGAATTTTATTTTTTTTAATCAGTCAGTGGAACTCAACTTCGGATTAGTGTTCGGTAGGTGAGAAAGGGTTTGGTTCAGGATTAGAGGGTTTACTTTGATTTAGATATGTGTGAAGGCATGGATGTTTGTGGTATTTTGGCATGTGAGGTGGGGCTTAATTAGATCAGTTTGTTTACTGGGGAACTTTGGGGACTGCTGCAGGGGTTATTACTGGCCTGGGATTTGGGATACCGACAGGTTATTGCAGAAGTGGACAGTCAGTGTGTGACGAAACTAATTACCGATACGGAGGAAATATTCGGTACCCATGCAGCTTTGGTCAAGGCTATTCGTAGCCTTTTGGAGCGGGAATGGAGGGTCACGGTCCAACACATTCATCGAGAAGCTAACTTTGCAGCGGATCACATGGCAAGTCTTGCAGCTTACGAGTCGGTCGGGTTTCATCGGGTCCCAATTCCCCCCACTGGATTGGGTGCTTGGCTTCAACATGATCTTATTGGGGTCTCTTACCCCCGGCGCATTCTAGCCTAGTCTCTATTATTAGGCCTTTGGCCTCCTTCTTTGTACCAAAAAAAAAAAAAGATCAATTTGTTTACTAATTAATGATTTACTAATGTTAAATGTTGTTGTATAATACTAAAATTGAGTATTGTATTTGA